GGACAGTTTGCCGGTACCTGGCTTCATTGTCTATACAGAAACCCCCTGATGCAAGATCTATTGATGCTCAAAATCTCACTTTTTTACAACTGAACACTTCGCTTTACTGTGTAAGAAGAATTGTTGTGCAGACAGTGGATGGTTTTTTACATGTTGATTCTCGTGGCATTTTTTGAAGTTCGAACCAGAACGTAGTCTTTAAAAAAAGTTGGCCAACGACGATGCCGGTTTGAAACATCTGGTGTTGAAGGCAACCGGCAAGACTGACGATGCCACTTCTCGGATAATAATTACCCTAACGTTTCGTAGCTAAATTTGAAACAAATGATCGTTTGCCGCTCAGCCAGGCTGAGCCTAATAACATTTTAAAGAAAACTCACGAAGAATAAATCTTGCTCTTTTTTCATTAAGCTTTTCAAACATCAACCTTTGTTACTACCTGGGCGTAACAAGTGAGGCAAGTACAATTTAATCCTATTGGTTTCACATAGGTCAGTGACAAGCAATCAATGCTAAGAGTTCGCATCTCTCTCATTTGAAAATAAACAATTGTAGAATCGTGGGACTGTATGCTGTTACCACATAGACGGAACCAATCATGCTTTGATGGTTCCCACATCTAGTTAGCATCTTGGGCTATAGTGGTATCCACAAAGGCTTCGCAGACGTATGCATCAAATCGAAGACTAATGCGCGCAGCAGTCTTATTCTCATGAAAGTTTTCAGTACTCTAATCGTTTAAGTGTACAACCGTGACGTCATTTTGAGCCAGCATCTAGGAAGCAGATGTCGGCTTCTTCCTCTGAGGTGAACTGACCGGCGCCGTGTACCTTACTGGACTCTAGCCTAAGGAAGACCATCTCGATTTTGTTGTCAGAAACAGCGAAAGTGTCATCCACGTATCAGCGGTAATCCTGTGTCTCCCCTATGCTAGGTTCTGAAGGACCACTGTCAAGTTTGAAGGAAGTTTGGATATTTGGCGAATAAATGTTACAAAATCTACCGGTAGTCCCAACCCAACCATGGCTACTCTGTGGCTAGGCTTTAGGATTCAGACTTTCTTGCCGACATTCGGTCTAGGCTTTTACCCTGCCACCGTGCGTAAATACCAGTACCACTGTAAATTATGCCAACAGAGATGTGGAGGTCGAGCTATCATTTAGCGTCATTAACCTGACTTACTGCGTATAGCATGGTATATAAGTAAAACATGATACTGTTGGAAATTTAGCTTCCGCCATTATCAAAAACTACAAACTTCTGTATGCTTGATTGTCATGGTCCCGTAGATTCAGTTCTAGGGACCTCCTTCAGCCACACAGAAGTCCTACAAGTGGAGCCAATCTACTTTGAGGAGATGTTTCGTCATCAGCTGTGTTCAGGTCGCTCGTTCGAAACCCCACAAAATTCCGTGACATGTGCACTACTTCTGGTTTCAAATAAGGGCAAAAAAACCTTACAGTACTTCTCAGCTTTCCGGCGTAGATTGGCCTCCCTTACAAAATGGAATCCTAATAAAAAAGTTCTTAAATAGCCCCAAGCTACCAACAACTCAGGGGATCAAATTTCTCATTCCGCCTTTCAGGTACACTTAATTATCCCTCCATTCGAACCACATGGTAATCCATGCACCGCAGTTTCAAAATTGAAGACCTGAGGACAAATCGGACGACAGACAGCTCGAGTTTGTATTCCAGTCAAAGTTTGGGCAGATGTTTGTGGCCTTTCCGCACTTTGCGAGCTTCAAAAACAGTCTACGCGCATCACAGCACACAAGCTTAAGATCATTCACTCATATCTGTGGTGACTTATATATTTAAGTATATTCCTCAGCCCTCAAGTTGGGACAATTATGCTGGTTTGAACCATAGCAGTTTCCGTGTGCGAATCTATAAGGACCCAAAATGACTGTGGAGGAAGTACTTTCTGTTGCTCTTCTCCTAAACCAAATTCCTCTAACTTGGACTAATGGAGAATTCTTTTCGTAAAAAAATAACAATTTATCTTACAGTAACTCAAATTCAAGACGAAAGTTAGTGGAATAGGATGTTATGGAAAAGGTTGCTCACGGCAACCAAAATGTCGGATCATAACACCATGTCCCGATGTGCCGTGTTTTGAACTTAAAAGTTGCCGTATTGTACGCCACATGGTGGCCAATCTTTTTAACGATGTCCGAGCCGAGTGACTGGACTGCTGCTACGGATTAACCAAAAGTAGTCTTGGTATGTTTGGTTTTAGACTGAAGATAGTGATACAAATGAAGAACTGCTACTGTCTCCTGCTGATCACCCAAGTTTTTTTCATGAACAGAGACTTTAGATGCGCCACAATTAAGAGCCGTCCCGGTTCCTATCATCTGGGAAAATTTGGACAACGCCTGATCACGTGTTTAACCACCTTTGGCTGTCAGCAGTTCATGAAAATTTAGCTGATTTCAACCTTGATTTCCTACATTTTGTAGAAGACTAATGAATATGCGCCCTGTGTAATTACAAAAAATCTGTCAACTGTGAAACGATCAAGCTTGTGGAGGCATGACGCATTCATAATTGCGCAAACAATAATATGAACTGAGATTAAATATGATCTTTAAAAAAACTATTGGACGCTCAGTTGGTCACCCCAGAAAAGACATCACCGGGTTGAGATCATAGTTTTATATCGGATAGAAATGGTTGGCCTATGCAAGCCAGCCTGCAAGTGTGTGACGCCGTAGTAGACAGCTTGAAGTTGCACTTTAGTTTCGCCATGTCGCCATCAGACCGCTGAACGGAAATCCTGACTTTACAGACCAGTCCAGGTATAACAGACGACTGATTCATCTGGATTCATGGCGAGTCTCCAAAACCAGATTGATATGCAAATGAGTATTTTCCTAGTCTAGGTATCCTTTTGGCCGCATAGCCAGTGATCACACTGTGGACAAAAATGTTAGCACAAAATTAGCGTACGTCAGCGTCAGCTTTTGGTTTGTCATTCAACCTGAGAACCTAATTACAAGTGACCCGAATAAGTCCTACGTGCCAAATGATATCTACGACGATGTGCTATACGGAAAGTGCAATGTATGAATGCGTGAATGTATGTATGAAACGTATAAATACGTTTGCACAAGTGGAAAACGGCGATTAGAACCACTGCCTATTGCAAAAATATAATCCCCCTTTGTTCCACCTCCAGATTTCCTGCGCTGAGCCTCCACCCTGAATGTCGACACAATGGGCGAGAAACCTATAGGATCACGCAGTTTTGGGCTACCAAACTACTGCGCGGAAGGTAAAGATCTTCGGTTCTGAGGATAAATAGTACCATCGAAAACATCAACTTACGGAATATGCCGTACAACACTTGAGCGGATTAACCTGAAAAGTGTGGAATTTTCGCTACAGAATTAGTGGAACGCCCAGGGTATTGTCGTGGCCTCAAATTTTGCAGAAATGTAACCTTAGAGGGTTTGCGTCAAACGCCATATTAGTTGTTAGCTACACAATAGTTCCACGGATTATTTTTCAGCCTTATTTGGGAGCAGCCACCCCTTAGTTTTGAAGCCACATGTTCCGTACATTTGACCATTCAGCTTGCTACAGGGATTGTTCATGGGGTCTAGAAGGAAGGTCGCAGACTGCTCCTTTCAATAGTTTAAGACGACAGAACAAAAGCGAATCTTGTGTGATATATCAGTGCCTTAGGCAAATGAAAAGATGTTAGACTAACAGCGGTAACCTTCAGTGTCAAAAGAGCCAGCGGACTTATCCAGGATAAGTATAGCCATAAAATTGTTGATCATCAGGCAGAAATGAAGTACACACGCATTGAATCATCCAATATTCAACTTATTCTGAGGGGACCTCCAGTTATCTAAAGTCACTGACGAGTCGTACTGCGGGTAGCGATCAGGGAAAGCTTATCGTTGATGGAACAAATATATTACTTTCACAATATATATAAAAAGCAGTATGCTTCTAACCACAGGGTGTTTGGAGACTTTTCTTGACCCAAATAGACAACAGGCTAGAAACCCTGATGATGCGGAATAATAAATTTTTCGCTTTCTGACAAGAGATTCGGTAGCCTGAACCCAGAGACGTATCCAACTTGAGAGGTCCAACTTGATAACACATCAGTTCATACCTCCTATCTTATCCAAAGATGGTTTTTGTTCAAACACTTCACGATTTTGGAATGAAAAACACATTATTCTCTCTACAGCATGACTCAAGGTCCAGAAAGTGTATTGGTTTTGAGAGCCCGCGATAATGAGATCGTCTGAAATTCAAACGATGAAACCGCGGACAAAATTTCATCCGGCCACCTAAAAATGCAATAGCGAAGCCAACTGCTGTAGCTCCGTCAGAGGCGGCTGAAGTGAATGGTCTAAAATCCATTGAACTTTCCGGTTTTACACTGCGGTTCTCTAACTTATCGTGTCTCTTTAACACTAAGGGGTGTGAGATGACAGTTTTCTTACGTTACGTTTGGGAAGGAAGAATCAACCACTGATGCACTAGCAATGGGTTTTTGTAAAGCACCTGCGATCCCATGACGTGTTGTTGCAGGCAGGGGGCCCTCTGGCTTTACTCTGAATCACGTTGTTCAGAAAATTTTAAAGTGGCCCGCAAGATGCGCTGTTTTAAAGTACTTTTATTATAGTCCACGAAGTACTAGGCTGACTAAATTCTGATCCTAAGGGCCAATATGTTTGAAAGTACACAGCATACGAATGGTTGCAATAATACTGATTTAATTAAGAAAATTTCTACGAAGAATTTGCATTATATGATGGTTCTGTCTATCCAGTAAGCAAGTTATTTTAAGCGAACAACCTATGGATCACGTGTTCGATCGCTCAAGCCTATGTGTTCCAATAAATGTGATAAGGCTGCTGCTACTCATCCTTAAGGGATCCGACCCACTCTTAAACGTAACCTTGTATTTCAACAAATAACAAATAGTTTTCACGTTCGGTATGGTGACTGCATTGTTTCCCAAATTTTCAGCTCACTTATTATGGAGTGCAGCGCCGCCACACGAAGAGGACTGATAATTGGTGCCACCGTTGTCATCGCCATCAGCGCTGTCGCTTTGATCATAGTAGCTGTGCTGTACGCGCTGGCTTCCAACGTCGGACTAATGGTAAGTAATTAGACAAGCGACACCTAACGGACGTTATTCTCCCAATTTACGTGACTGCTTCTGGGTCGGAACACCAGTGAGCGAGTTTTATTCTCCTCTCTGAAGCAAAGTTTGTCCAGCTCTGCTTGGGATTCCACAGGTCATTTTTGTATGCTATTTTCATGTTACATCTAAATTATTCGGATTGCAAGAAATGGAGAATCAGAGGTCACCAGGTTCACAATCTTTCTTTTAGCTAAACATCACAGGACGACTAGTTTCCGCTACTTCAAAAAATAGAACTAAAACTACTACAACAGGGTTTATGATCGATTTTTTGAACTGGCCTAATTGCATCTTTTCGCAACAATAAGATCTTTCTAACGAATCACGGAAATTGCTTCGGTGATGGCACATGCACCGTTAGAAAACTTTTATGGGTGTTCAGGGCGAAACAACCCACAGAACAAAACGGTTTGTTTTCTACCATGTGATTCTGAGAACTGGTTGGGAGTTTAATTTTAGATTACAAAGAAAGAGAATAACAAATCTGTCAGAGAGCATGTGAACGAACGATCGTTGTACAATCTGGTCAGAACCCAACTTCGGCAGAGACAGCAGTACTGGTGCGAGAAATGTGTGTAGGGCACTGATTAGTAGCTTTAATTTTTACCCAGTCATTTTAGAAGTCATGCACTGTAAGAACCATCCACCAAACTGAGTATATTTTCTAAACTGTGGGTCAGATTATGTACAGTAAAGGCTTATATTTCGCCTGGTTGAATACTTCGTCTTGCTTTGCGAATTTCATACTCAGAACTAAGTGTCCACCACACCATCATGTTCCCGACGATAAGCGCGTTCAAGTCTTTTTACATGCGTGTGGTATGACAATAAGTCTTTGTACACTTCTGATAAGCCTGAAATACTAGTTTTTAACTTCCTTCATTCATGATCAGTGTCCATCTAATTTTTACCACTTTCTATTTGGTCTGCACAGAACTCTTTAGAGGTTATTTTGCGCGCATATGCAATGGGGAGCACTTTCAGGGATACTTCAGTGGGCAGATATATAACAGTCTTGGAGCTTTTCTTGGTCTGCAGGATACACGTGGGAATCATTTAGGGGTCGCGCTTGCCACCGATATTCAGAAGCGATCGTTAATAAACTATATTCTCTGTGTGTGAGCGATGGTAAAGTTCATCTGATTCAGATGAATCCCTCGCAACTCAACTCGCTTAACTCCTTGTAATGTTTGATGGATAGCGATGTCTTAAGAAACACCACGTCCAACACTCAAGGAAATACAACTAGACTTGGTCGACTACTAATGTTTTCTAGAAAATTTCAGAACAAATTTTCTTCCTAGGTTCACGGAAAAGAAAAGTCATATACAATCTGCAGATAGAATGTTTCTTGGTAGTGAAACTCGCGGTAGGAGAGATATTTTCGATACTTACTCTATTCATCGAATTCCAGTGAGAATATGATGTGTTTATCACCCGTTTTGAGTCCCTCTACGTCTAATACGAACGCTGCATTAAAAAAGAATGAAGTGTATACTTGGAAACAAGTCCTTGGAGATTTCAAGAGAGTTCCCTCATTTTGATCATGGCATAAGGGTAAAGGTCGCAGTGGAAATGGCTTTTGTGTTCTGTATCTACAATTTTATGGTGGACAAACGTCTCGATTCAACTAGGCAAAAAATCATGGCTGAGTCTAAATCTGGGACGCAAACATTAGTTGCTTTTGTTTTCTTCGTAACGCACAATCCAGAATACTGATCTTGGGACAATACGGCTAATTAGCGAGATCATTGTGCCTGACCAGTACATGTGAAGTCCAAACTATTCTGCATATGGATCTGCGTCCACCTAAAAAAACCGCAGCTCTTATTGATAGGAAATTCACAAGGATGAAGTGAAACATATGATGTGATGTATGCATCAGTTGAGCGAATCTGAACGATTGAGACAGTTAGAAACAAACGTGGGTTTTGTGATAGAAATTCTATCATAAATGATTGATTAAACCGGTCGTAGAGCGTCCCCCACTAAGATGCATCAGTTGAGCGAATCTGAACGATTGAGGCAGTTAGAAACAAACGTGGATTTTGTGATGGAAATTCTTTCACAAATGATTGATTAAACCGGTCGTAGAGTGTTCCCCACTAAAATCAAATTAATGTGAAGAAATGTGGGTATTTTGCAAGTGAAGTTCCGCTTGGTTTCAAACGATACATGAGAATGAATGTAGGGCACTTTGGGGATTACGCCTACTTGATGGACTCGAATAAAAACAAAACAAGTCGTGGTATCTCGAATGTCATCCCAACTGAAAAATAAGATGGAATTTCGGCAGCGTATTCATTTGCAAAACATAACAAAGGATAGATGTATTTGGGATTGGGTTGAATCTTCTAGTAAAGTCAAATTTTCGTACAAAGGATTGTAGTTCGCACAAAGTATGTTTTCAAAAACGCTATCTCTCAGTGGTGTAAAAGAAATGGCGTCACGTCCTAAAGTCTAGTTTCAAATGCATTTACTCATGTTTGACAACCTGTTAAAACGCAACGTTATGCTTTGAGAGTTGTGTGAATGCCAAAGCGAAACCGACCGATGAATTTTGAAAATCACCTCGGGTTATTTGTCGTAAAAATTAAGGACAGGGACGAAATTACAAAATACGGATAGCCCAAATAGTCTTTTGCAAGATTTAACAATCCAAAACTGATTTTGATGTTCAAAACTACCAAGGCACTCCTAAAAAATTTGGGCGGTACGTTTTGCCACAGGAAGTTATGATCACGCTGTTCCTTATGTACAGAGTAAAAATTGAGGCCGAAGGAGTGACCATTTATCTCAATGTCTGCCATCCAACAGCTGAAAACGCTGTTCCTTATGTACAGAGTAAAAATTGAAGCCGAAGGAGAGGCATGATAAATCGTTCATGCAAACCATGGATTGTTGTCTAAAGCATTGTCTGATTCAGTCCGCAAAATAATTGACCATTTATCTCAATGTCTGGCATCCAAAAGCTTAAGGTTGCCCCCTGAAATACGTTGTTTTTAATGGTGCTTTGTAAAAGATGCGATGGCTTTCAGAAAGGTAGATGTTTGTTCGCAAGCAGACGGTAAATTTTTCAATTAGGAACTGAAACCTTTAGTGCACTCATACCAGCGTGGACTCAGTATATGCTAAAATGCAAAGATGGAAGTTACTAATGGAAGGACGGCTGTTTCTCTAAGGGGTTTGCACACCGTTAACCGTTTGAAGATGCGATGGCTTTCAGAAAGGTAGATGGTTGTTAGCAAGCAGACGATAAAGTTTTCAATTAGGAACTGAAACCTTTAGTACACTCATGCCAGCGGGGACTCAGTATATGCTAAAACGCAAAGACGGAAGTCACTAATGGAAGGACGGCTGTTTTTTCAAAGGGTTTGCACACCGTTAACCGTTTATTGGGAACTTTTAGTCGGACCAATTATTCGGATTCTTACGCTTTATTTATGTTCACAATCGATCGTGTCCAGAAAAACCGTTAAACAGGCTGCAACTGACCCACGGTTAGTTGAGCGAAAATTCGCGAGTGATCGACATTCAGTCAATTGATTTGCTGCTTTCAGTCCATATGTGAACTGCACTTAGTGGATCTTCCCATGCTTGTTTGTCTACTGCCAAACTTTTTAGAGTAATCCGGTTGAGCCAGATGAATGAGAGTGGCGTCTAAATCCAGTTGACGGTGTTTGTTTTGATTACAGTCCAGGTGGATTGATTTTACCGGTTGTGTTCCGATCTGTGAAGCTTAGTTTTTTTCTTAGCTGAACGACCGCTCAAATATTCTCTTCGATCAGTCTGTGCGTGAGCTCAACACAACCAATAAGGGATATATGCATACTAAACTCCAAAACGCCTATCCTCTTAAGTGTGCGACTTTCTCGCCTAAAGTATGGGACCAAAGTTTGCGCTTAAGTTGATTGCTGTAGTGTTATCTGTTACTGTTGTTTGTTTATATGGCTTGCGAATAAGGTGAAAGTAGCCCATCCTGTAAAGCAAAAACTGCTTGGAACTACCCATGGTTTCGAGTTTAATTGGGAGCTAAAGAATACCGTCAGCATGAAACTGCTCTTTCTAATCTTGAGACAGTTTGCCCAATTCCAACAGGCAAATAGTTAATGCAGACGCAATGGGGTAAATTGGCAACTAACTCTAAAGTGCAAAAGCGTCAAGCTATTCTGGGCTACAGTTCCATATTCTCGGAACTACCTTTAAATCACCCGAAGCGACTACGAACCCAGCCACTCGGTATCTTCGGTGTCCCTTGGACTTTGTTCCCATTCTCGTCCAAGATCCTACTCATTCCTAATAGCTATTGTTGTGAAGCTTATACATCGGTGAGCTATATGAACTCTTGGTTTTACATTACTACTGCTTTTGTCACGACACGTCGATACACGATGAAAAAACCCGCCCGCCTCTTGGAATCCTATCATGCGGTTAGGTAATGACGGCTCGGTCTGTATTCTTCGTAAGAGATGTCTACTCTTGATTTTGAAGTTTCTTCTTGTAAGGGTCTAAAGTGAAAGCTGGGACTAAATTATTCCAAAAGCAGTCTGCAAAACAGCGACTTATTCAACGCGCTGAATTCAACTAGGCGGCTTGTTTAGGTAATCAGGTAATTACGTGCTACAAAACGTCAATATTTTCTACTTCCGAGGTAAGCTTGTGTTTTACAATCTTACCGTAGTAGGCCTTGCTCAGTTAGAGAGGGGAATGCTCAGGTAATATAACAAGCAACTGAGTTGTTTGCTAAGCTTGTTGCGAACATTTCGTCACCAATAGGAGTAACATCATCGGTGTGTAGCCAGGTAGATGGGGCCTTACACAGCGACGCATCAGTTTACTACAACGCACTACTAACCAAACAACCACTGATGACGTTTTATCGATTGCTGACGAAGCGCTGGAAACAGGGTTACTTAACGAAGAAAGAATCAACCGGTGCTACGCTAAACACCAAC